GTGTTTTTTTTTTTTTTTTTTTTTTTTTTTTTTTTTCTTCCTGTCACATTTATGTGTCTATTGGAGCACGATGAGGATTCTGGAAAAGTCTCTCAAGTAAGAGTATATATGGAGTGATCAGGTGTGATGCACCACTGAGCTCACAACCCCGTGTTTTATGGGGCTTCTGTGAGTGCTCCTGAGAGGGTTTCACTGAAAGATCCATTCTGCCCTCATCTCCCAGAAGTGCTCACTTTGTCCACATTGTGCTTTTCCTTCTGGGATTGGCTTGCACAGACATCCTAATGGCTGCCCACACTCAGGACTGTATTGGCCAAGTCCATTCAAGCTGTTTCTTCACTTGGCATTAATAAGTGTGGGACTTTTAAGTGTTAACTTAGAGTGATTGCCAAGGGAGTATAGGTTTGTAACCCTGAGAGCTGAAGGCAAACAAGTTTTGCTTTGAAATAGTTTATAGGAAGGGAGGAGTCTTGAAAGTGAGCAGCTAAGGAAGATGAAGAGCTCTCCCACTTCTCAGTCAAATTGCTAGTGAATGTGCTCAGTTATCTCAAATTGTTCTGTAAGTGGTCTTTATTGTTAACAAAATGGACCCTTCTATTACTAATATTTTTAGAGCAAAAAGGTTGGTTTTCTTGGGGTTTTTTAGTCTTTAAAAATGAACAAATAGTCACTTACTAGCTCTACAGTGTATTTGTTTCGTAGACGAAAGAAAAATTCCTGTTTCTTATGAATCACAGCCTAAAAGGCACTAGCTGTTTACATATTTTTTCACCACTGTTGATTTCTAGACTAAGAACTTTTTAATGTTGGCATAGAAATAGTCCTCATTCAGTATGGAACAATAACAAGGCAGCTTTCACAGAAATCATTGATATTATTTGAGATAGTGGGAGATGTCTCTCCCTGCAACCTTTTGTCTTAAGTTATTGATTATATGATTCATAAAGAACTCTTTGCATAACCTGAATGGATATAGAAATGGTTAATAAGGTAAATTGGTCTGCAAAGTTGCAGCTTAGAGTGGGTTTGTATCATCTAGACTATTCTGTCAGTTTCAGTATGTGGATCCCAAAACCTTGTCAGAGGAGATGCAAATCCTTTCAAGACTGACTGACTGACTGTGTGCAGAATATAGGAATTGATCGTGTTCCACGTAACATGCAGAAATAGTCCATAAACTTCTACTTATAAGTTTTATGTAAGAAAAAATGTCTGCCTTCTCTCTTACTGAATATGTAGTCCTGAGGAGTATAGCAAGCTGTAAAGAGTTCAGTTGAAAAGACAAAAACCAACAAAAATAATCACATCAGACAAAGTGGTCTGGAGTCAGAAAGTGGTTATTACACCAGAGTCTGACAGCATGTGTATTTTCAGATTAAAGGATTTCTTGAGATGGCTACTTACAACTTCTAGAACTTCTTTATTGGATGGACAAAGACATGAAGGGTTGATATACATTGAAGAAAATATATCCTTGAAAGACAAGAAAAATGGTACATTTTTTGTCTGAGTTTTTCCCAATTGCCAAAGACAGTGCACCTTTTTCTAAATATGCATCCTTCTTCTATCAGTCAGGAACAGACTCAGACCACCTTCCCCTGCCCCATACCCAGAGAAAAAAAAGCCTTCTGGGGACTCCTGTCATGAATAAGTCTTTTGTGAAGGACTTTATGTATCCTGGTGACCTCAGAAGACATCAGAAGAGAATTCCATTTCACAGGGAATTTGTTTCAAGCAAGAGAAACTGACATTCTGGGACCTCTACACAGTTGTCTGTCTTACTGAAGTTTTCAATGTGATGGCTTAAGTTTCTCTTACTCAGGGTAGAAATCTGAGGGGTTGAAATTCCAATAAGGGAGAATTCCTTGCCGTAAGAGTTAACATTTCTGCATTCAGCTGCCTGTAAACACACAAACCTTTTGTACTAGTTCATTTACTTGAGGCATCTGTTTCTTGGTCAGCGCAGTGTTTCAATATGGCTGCTGCCACTTTGTTGAGCAAATGTTATCTTTCATCCAGACTGTAAAAAAAAAAAAAAAAAAAAAAAAAAATCAATTGCCTGATGTGCATCTGTTATTATAGGCTGGCTGCCTGCAGCTCAGCAAGAATTATTAAGAGCTGCAGTCCTGAATGAGACAAATGTTAACTTTCAGTTACAAAATCTTAGCTTCTCTTTCTAGTGTGGATCTCTACTACTTACAGCCTGATATAGGAAGGAGAAAATACTTGCTGTTGTTTGGTGACTCTTCTCTTATCTTGTCTTATTTGCATAACTCTTTGGTTTGTTTTTTTCTGTCTTCAAGTAGACTCTAAACAGACACTGCTGACATAATCTCTCTGTAAATATACCGTTTCCTAGGAGTGGGACATAATTAGATGCTCACTGTTGAAGTTAAATACTGTCTGTGACTACATTTTTTGTGTCCTGTACTACATACTTACATGTGCACAGTTCTGCATATATTGAAAACCTAGGAAGTGTTGTGCTGGGTTGTATTAAAAAACCTTTTGTTATTTGAATTTTAATTTTTGATTCTATATGTTCTCATTGTTAGAACTGAAGATTTAAAGGAACTTAATTGGCAAATGCAATGAATAACAACTGAAGCACAACAATCAGAAGTAAACATTGTGGGAAATGAAAGCAGTTAAGAATTCCAGCTACGTGGATGCAGGAACTGGGTTAATTGTTTGCAGGAGTTCTCAAAGTTATTGGAATAGTACACTGTTTTTTAGTTCTTCAGATTTCATTTTGCCAAAGCTACATAAAATATTTATTTAACAATTGGTGAAAGATGGGAAAATAGAACAGTATGATCTTTTCTAGTCCATCTACTATGATACTGCTTTTTTAAAATACAATATTGTGTATACTTACAGGAATTTCTTTACTTGTTTGTCAGGCTTGATGATACTGTCAAAGTGGATTAATTATCCATTGTAGAGTACTCCTTACCACATTTAGGAAGCTATGGTGTTTTAAAAAATTTTCTTTACACAAAAATAACTGACTGTTTAGTGATTTCTTAGCAATGTGTAACTTATTTTGAGCTGTTTACATTTTTTGGCTGAAATTAGGTCTTAATACAACTTTATGTGGTTGCTTTGCTGTGTATTTAGCCGTAGCTTTTGTCTGTATCTTAAAATGAAAACCCTGGTATTATGTCAGGTGCTGCTATACCAGTATCGTGATTGGAAGATGCCTATTAATAAGATATGGAAGAAGGGCTATTTGTGGTGCTTGAAAGGAAAATGTCTTCCACTTACTGGGAATGATCAGCGGTTGGTTACAACCATTGCTAAGTGGCTTGGAAAGATATGTTCTCTGTCTTGAAAATTATCACTGGAGAAACAGATAGTAAAGTGTTTTTGTTTTAACACACTTAGAATGTTTATCGCAGGATAATGAATTTAGTACAAGAGATACAGGAAAAAATGCTTATATTATTTTCTCTCAACTTTATATGTTAGCGAGTTATGAACAGAAGCAGAGTTAAGTATGAGCTCTAGTATTACTGTATTTTGAAAGCTTTTGAAAGCCAAATTGTTTTGTAAAGGTAGAGCTTCAGTCTGAAGGATGTTTTCACAGTCTTTGGCCTTGGAACAAGAATCATCCAATTCCATGAAAGTAACAGCGATATGGGTGAGAGGACAACAGCAATGGTTTAGTTTTTGGTTAATGCT